ATTTTCTGCCGGCAGATGCTTGGTGGGAGAAAATAGATGCTTGGTGGGAAAAAATAGAACAGCTTTATTCGATATGAGAGCTTTTCCATTCATATACTCATCTTAGTTGAGCGGACTCTTCACTTGTGATGCCACACCGCTATTGGATTCTCTGAAATTACACTACTTTGGAGAATCCGACATGTACCTATTGACATTTTAAGAGTCCGAGCAACATAGATGATACATGAAAAAGTTAATAGCAATGAAGAAATTAACAAGAGCATTCACCAAACTAAGAAAAAATCATTTTGATCATTCACGATCAATAAGTATGGACGCCATGATATACTAATACTTGTGTGGATCAAATAAGTAGAGACGTATAAGGTAATACTTCGTTTTTATTACTTTTGCATTCTGATAAATTGTGCAATCTCATCCATTGTATATCAACATTTTTATCAATTAGATCTAAGCATATGAAGTCATGTCGATTTATTTCTGCATTTCAAGTTCTCTCTTTTCTATCTGATTCTAGAATTTCTTGAGTGCTTTATGTAATATGAGATTCATATGAAATATACCACTTTTACTGCATCGTGAGCACGGGTGCACACATGTCCTTGCCTGTTCACATCTCGAAAAGAAATCTTCTTAGGAGCTTGAAGTGTGTCCTGGTCTTTTCCTTGTAATGTTTGCATGACTGTCCAGTAAAAATATTTTACCTCCAATGTGGAATTAGATAAGCTAATATGCAACTTTCTCTATATCTTTTTAAAATTAACAGCTTCTCTTATGCATCTCATTTTCTCAACTGAGGTACTTAAGGGAAAAAAGCATGAGAAAATAAAGAGGCAAAATAGTTTATTTCGTTTCTCATGAAACCAATTAGCATTCAAATACTCAAGTGTGGAGATGCATTTATGTAAGTATATATTGAAAACTCTCATTTTAATTTATGATGTGTAAACAAGACGAGTAGACGATGAGCTCAAAGGAATGAAGTTAAAAATACATCTATATCCCTATTGCTGCAGAGTTTTTTCATCAGGCCAAGCTTGGTGGGCGCAAGAGTCAATTTTTTTTTGTTGTAACTGAATGATGCAAGTGTGTGGCATATCTCTAACCCATTTTTTTATATTGTGATATTGGAAGCTAATAGCATTTGAGTGTTTCTGTTTTCTTATAGTATGATCTACTATGTGCTTTCAAGTGTGGAGGTCTTCTTCCTTCACACATTAATATATTTGATGAAAGTCGTTTTTCAAAACTTCTTAGTAAAGAATGGTTCATTGATGTCAGAAATAATTGAAATTCTGTGAACTAAATTTCAGCCTTCACAAACTAAAAGAGAAGTGTACAACTACTATATTTGATGTGGAGTATCTTAATTAGATGTGTGTTTTTGATCTTTCATATATGAATCTTAATATTTAAGGTGCAGTTATTTTGAAGTGTCGTCTCTTGATTATTCTTTGTAATGATTTTTTTTTTTGCTATAGCAAGGAACTTTTCTATGCATGAATTAAAGAAAAATGTTGATTTTTAAGTCTCTTCATTAAGCTACAGTTCATATTGTAAATCCTTTTATTGATTACCATTTTGTTGAAGTGCTTAGTTATAACAGGGACCTTAATTTGGTATGTAGGATTTGAAGAAGAAAGATGAGTCCAACCATGCAGGGGTTGCTATTGAAGAGCAATACAAATGACATTTACCTGAGAAAATTACTAAATAATTAAGGAGTATGCATAAGAGCAATTTCAAGTTTATCACCCTTCTAGCATTGATGTAAGTTGTTCTACTTGGAGCAAGTCATTAGGTGCCATTAGCTAGAAGCTAATGAATTTTTAAATTTCTCAACTACCATAAAAAAAGCAAAATCTTTCGGCTCAGGCCATTTTGAGGCATATTTCAGATCCTACATTAACTACCTACATGTAAAAAAATTACTACTCACTTGGCCTTAAAATGATATGTATTATTGATCATGTTTCATTTTTTTGTACCCAGTAATCAAGACGATCAGTAAACTAGATGAAATGAGAAAAATTAGCCCAAGTGTTCATTATAGTTTTATATAATAAAGTACAAACTAAAGTTCTATTCTTTAGCAGGACAAAAGAAAAAATATGTCCATGATATCTTAAGATTGCTTTCTAATATGAGTTGCCAAAGAGTTGATCCAATTTTTTTTCCTTTT